AATCCTTTGTTCTAGAACCTTCTTTTTTCGGAATTTTTATTACAATGTAATAACATTAATACCCCATCAATGATGCATACCTAGGGGTCACTTGGAAGTAAAAGGTGCTAAATTAACAATAAGATTCGAAATGTAATTAAGCATTTATAATATTTAAATTATTATTACTAATTAGAAGGTTACTTGAAGGATAATTAAAATTTTTTAAATCCATATTTAAGCTTATTGTTTTATAAACTAGAATAAATTAAAATCTTTTTATTTTTTTATAAATCTTTAACTACTTAAAAGCAAAATACTCTACAATGATAATGGATATCTTCAATACATTTTTACAAATTCATAATCAATATTCATATGATACAGAAATAAATTAATTTTCAAATCTATGAGTACTGCTAAAAAGTTTTAAAGTCTTAAGCTTTTTTAATTCAATATAATTATAATTCATATAATAGGTTTGAAGTCTTGCCATTTATTTCAGAGTTTAGAAAACTATATTAAAATACTTTTTATAGGAACTGACTATAAATATCTTCTATTTGTTATTCCTTAGCATCAAAATCATCCAAATCTCTTGAAAATTTTCTATGCTTAATATGACTACATTAAGATATTCAACTTCTATTCAATACACATATCCAAGATAACTTAAAATTTTGATTATGTATTCAATAATGTTTAGCTTTAAGTAGAGAAATCTCGATTAGAAATTTAACCTTTTAGAATATAACAGAATTATAACTGTAAAAAATTACTCTGTGAAGTTTGGCTTTATAAAAACATAGTATAAAATTGCAACAATCTCATTAAAATTAGTCTAAAGTGTCATTCCAATCCAAGTAAAATACATCTTCAAATATGAAACTAAATTTAAGGAACAATTAATTGGCAATATTTATAGAATGAATACAATTTGAAGAAAATTCTTAAAAAAAGAATTATAATTTGTAAACAATTAAAATAAGGAAAAAAAGAAAAATAATAAAATCAAAAATTAATTTAATCACTTTAATTATATCATT